ACAGACGCCACAGAGAGTAAGGCTAATACTATCACGATATTAACACGGGAGGAGAAGAAAGATTTTAACCAAGAGAAAAAAGGTTTAAACACATATTAATCCACTTTTGAGCGTTGGAACGTTGATCTGTCGGGTTTAACCTCCTTATATCCGACTCTCTTGTTAATTAATCTCTGGTGTATTAACCAACAAGGTGTTTTAACAATTTAATAAACCAACTGTAGGATTGTTATTTTTTTTTATCAGCCAGATGTGAGGAAAATACTATTGGCATTTTCAGAAGAGAATTTGGAACTGTTTATTTATCTTTTAATTGTAAATGTTGGAATTATGTTTTAATTTCAAGTATTTATTTCAGTTATTTTTTATATATTTATTTGATTTGATTTTAGCGCCACAAGAGATAAAGTAAAGCAGTGGTTAATTAAATTCCTTAATAAAACAATAGTGAGTTAATGTTCTTCTTCTAACTTCACTCTTAATTACGCACTAACAACCCCCAAAAAATTTATATAGAGAAATGCACCAATCACAAGACGACTGAGGAGAGACCTTTCGCCCTGGGGTCATTAGTGAGGGGAAGCTGATGACCTGTCAATTTGGGTCAATTTAGGTCAGGTGCAGAAAAACTCCATCTTCTTTTCCCAAAATTAAACAACTCTCCTTTTAAATCTTTGTGTTCAAGCTGAGGCGGATCTCTGGTGTCTTATAACAAATTCATTCCAATGGCGGAAAAAATTGTAATCTAAAAACAAAATTATGTAAAATTTAACCGAATGTTATTTATGTTTATTCGATATCTTGAACTTTATATTGTGAATTGGTGATAAATGAGACGGGAACCCCAATTAGTCACTTATAAGCTTTACATTGCTGACTAATTGTCGGGTGAGAAAGAAAACGTGTCTGAGCCATAGGGGTGATTGAACCAGACTGCCGCAAGACCTACCATCAAGAGAGGTCATATGTAGAGTATATGCACCTGACCTTTGACCCGCTGCAGGAGGACAGTGACCTGAACGTCATGTTGTTGTCTGACCAGCGCTGCCTGAGGTACGCTAGTCGGGAATTATAATCTATACATAATTATACATTTAGACGAGATTATCGGAGCAATAATTACCTTTCTTGTAATGCAGCGTCGTGTTGGCTACTCCTCCTCAGCCACAGAATCTTTTGTCGACTTAAATTCAGTTTGAGTTTTTTACAGATCAAACCCGATGGTCTTTAGGTAAGAATCAAGTCTTTTTTTGTGCACAGAAGCCAGCCATGATTTTTTTTTTAGTTTTCAATATGTAATTAAGATCAAAGGTCAAGCTAAGTTAAGTCCATAACAGGTCACATTCCTCTACACTCTCACTCTAGTGTAGTTGTTGTTGTTATGTGGAAAGGTTGTGAGGCAGAGCAGAGTGGGTTGACTTTCACACTTATAGAAAGAGAGATCAGAGTCAGAGTCAGAGAGGATCAGGGTCAGAGAAGATCAGGTTCAGAGAAGATCAGAATCATAGAGGGTAAATGTCAGAGAGGATCAGGGTCAGAGAAGATCAGAGTCAGAGAGGATCTGGGTCACAGGGGATCAGGGTCAGAGAAGATCAGAGTCAGAGAAGATCAAAGTCAGAGAGGATCGATGTCAGAGAGGATCAGGGTCAGAGAAGATCAGAGTCAGAGATGATCAAGGTCAGAGAGGATCGATGTCAGACAGGATCCGGGTCAGAGAGAATCAGGGTCACAGAGGATCAGATTCCATTGTCAAGACCACCCACCCCTACCTACCCCACGCCCATGTAAACCTAAGAATGTAACCCCTCGCTGTGTTAACACTATGTACTGTAGTATATAAACAGTACTACATATTATGCCACCATTAGACACATTATATAAACCATCTGTGTATACTTAGCAGTTTCTTAATGGCTTATAACCAAACCTCATAATTAAAAAAACAAATGGTTTGAGGTATATGGAATAATTGTCACGTGAATATTAAGACACTAGGGTAGTTTTTGTTTTGTTTTTAAAGGAGCTGTCATTGCTGAAGAAAGGTAATTATTGGGTATTTATATCTCGGCTTTTCATAATTAACGTTACTAGAGCCAAAGCATCCAAGGAAGTAGGTCACAGTGTACTAAACGAGTGAGTAGATATTTTTTCACCGGTGCGATGTAACTAAAAAATGATAATAATAATAATAATAATTGATGATTTAAATTTATAGAGAGAGAGAGAGAGAGAGAGAGAGAGAGAAGTGTTCCTTTAGGCGACGAATGTAAGGTGATTCACTATGTAGCTGAGATGTTTTCAGAGGTGTAGAGAGGAAATGAGATAGATACAGAAGGTGAGAGAGATATGAGAGATAGTATTGAGAACTTTTTTTTTTGGAGGAGCTGAGATATGAGAACACCTGTAGAGCTTAAGAGATATTGTTAATAACTTTTGGAGACATGAGAACACCTGTAGAGACTAAGAGATATTGTTAATAACTTTTGGAGATATGAAAACACCTGTAGAGACTAAGAGATATTGTTAATAACTTTTGGAGATATGAAAACACCTGTAGAGACTAAGAGATATTGTTAATAACTTTTGGAGATATGAAAACACCTGTAGAGATTAAGAGATATTGTTAATAACTTTTGGAGATATGAAAACACCTGTAGAGACTAAGAGATATTGTTAAGAACTTTTGGAGATATGAAAACACCTGTAGAGCCTAAGAGATGTTGTTAAGAACTTTTGGAGATATGAGAACTATAGAAAGTGGGAGATAATTGAGATGTATTTTTTTTTTGTTAGGGAAATATTTGCTGTGTGTATGTACTGTATTTCTTGAGAACGATTATAACACCAACACTCCGGATTAACTTCTCATGAGCTGTTGACCTCTTGCCATAACACTTCTTAATTCATTGGCTATATCCCAGGTGGAGCTCGATGCAAATCTTCATCTTTAAAAATAAAAAAAATAAATAAATAAAAATAATTCCTTCTTGGCCGGGTTGGGTGTTCGAAACGCGAGGGCCTTCAAAAACAAACAAACAAAGAACAAAATTTTCATTATTCCCCTCCCTACTCCTTATCTTACCTCCCTCCACCATCTCCAAAATAAATTAAATCTTGAGATGAAAAAAATATATAAAAAATTTCTGTCCTTGGCTTCTTTTTTAAAATGTATGTATTGAATGTTGGGTTAAATATTTATATAAGGTAGTTTGAAAGTTTGAAGTTCTTGTCAATATTACCACCTCCCCCACCTCTCAAGGCTCCGTGAGACTACCAGCCAACCCGACCCTTTTGAATCCAATCCCGGCTTCACTTATTTGTCATTGTGGGTATCGGTACCTGAGTGTCCTAATCCTGATTTAATTTATGTTGACAATCTTTAGTTACAATCCTGATTCGGCTAAGGCAAAAAAATAATAATAATCACAAAATAACCAAAATTCTCAGAAAAAAAAATAGTTTTCTGCCGTAAATTATGTGGGGTTTGTACCAGGTTGGTATTTTGTCCCGCGTGATTGACTGTAGAAAAATAAATAAATAACAGGGTGATTTAGACTGTAATTTTTTTTCTTTGTCATCGTTTAGTTCTCGTGTGCGAAATGATATAATCTAAAAAATAACTCTCGTCTTCCAAGCACATGGCATTACCTCATTTTTTAATCCCTCTTCCCTCTTCCTTCTCCTCCTACACCTTAAACACTCACAACTTACAATCACCACAAAATTGAAACTTATCCAAAAAAATAACCCCCTCCAAAAAAAAAACCATGTTAAAAAAAATCCCACAATCGTCGTCACCAAAAAAAAAAAAACATGGAAAAAGACTTATTGGTGATTTTGTTTTGGTAACGACGATGACTAACAACCTCACGGGACACTCACGGTACCGACCCCGGCATGGCTTCGTTCGTTGTTTAGCTTACACACACAAACAAAACTAAAAAACAAAAAATAAACTTTCAGGTGACGTGTTCTTCTAAATCCTCCCTGTGTAACGGTTTCTTCCATGCGACGCCTTTGAACCTCACGAGAATTCATTTATATCTTGAGGACACAATAAAAATGTTAATTGTCAAAAAAAAAATATATATATATATTGGTTTGATTATCCTTATGTGATTGGGTGATTGGGTGATTGTCTTTCGTGATATTTGAAGGTGATTGAGTGATTTTCCTTCATGATGGGGGTAAAAAAAATCAAAAGAAAAATCAAATTGCAACTTAAAAAAAAAAAAAAATGGAAATAAAACAAATCAAGAGTGAGAAATGATATACATGCTGTGTTGTTAAGAGTAAGAGAGACAAGTAAGAGAAAGAGAAACAAGTAAGAGTAAGAGAAACAAGTAAGAGAAAGAGGAACAAGTAAGAGAAACAAGTAAGAGTAAGAGAAATTAGTAAGACCCTGTAATTGGGTGTAAATGAGAACAAAACAAATTCATGCTCAGCAAACCTTGGACTTGGTCACATATGGCAACACAATATCTCCCAAGCGGTAGTACCTCTCTGATAGCTGCCTGCCATACTAAGACGAAGAGTGAAGATATTTTACTAACAACTCTTACAACACAAAAACTCAAAGATGGCGGACAATATGGAATCGAAATTACACTGAGACTCGACCATTAATAAGGACGATCTCTTTTATTCCCTGTGAGTTGAGATTTGCACAATGGTTCACAAAAGTTTAACACGTTTTCATATCAATAAGGTTTAATATCAATAAGGTTTTAAAACTCAAGGTAAGAAAATGTTTCTTTATTAATGTATATAAGTCGTCGCTGAAATTTGTATGGAAATCAATCTAAGTTGCATTGAACTTCATTGTATAAATTGTCCACAACAGAAGCATATAATTTATATATAGACTAAAATGTGTTTAACAGGTAATATATATATATATATATATATATATATATATATATATATATATATATATATATATATATATATATATATATATATATATATATACTATTTAAGTATCATTTATAATAGAATATATATTATAATGGACGATATAATAGTATATATTTATTATAGTATTGCCGAATAGCGATAATTTCTGACTGGCCATAACGATCATATAAATTACTTATAAAAATTTATATAAATGAATAGTTTCATAAAAAACTAACCTAACCTAACCTAACCTAGCCTAACCTAACCTAGCTAACCAACCTAACCTAACCTAATCTAACCTAACCAACTTCAGTTACTTTTTAAGGCTTAAATGGCAATTATATCTAGCGTGATATATATATATAAATGCAATTATAATAAATATACCAGTAGCATTATCTTCTTATATGTATAGGTATATAAAATCCACTTATATGGATGTCCCAGCCTCCCTGCCCCCCCCCCCCTTTCCTCCAACTCTCAGTGTCTCAGGGAGCAGACAGGGAGGAAGACAGGGAGCGGGGGAGAAGAGATACAGGGAGCAGGGAGGGAGAGGCAGGGAGGTTAGGGACATTTTTCTGTGACACCCTATGTACACTCTTACCACACACTACCACTATTGGAGGTCATATCTCATTTTTGACTAGACTACTACAAGCAGCATCAATATACAGGTATACTGATTTAAGTAGAACCCTCGTAAGCACTATTCTTTAACATTCATGTGAGTTAAGAGCTTCGTGCAGCGGAACTTCAATTGGCTGAAGGCACATTTTGGATCTAGTAGCTGATTGGTGAACCTCCGGCAAATCAGAGGCCTCCCCGTGTGATCTCTCTTCGTCTATTGGTCGAGCTTCCCTGTCTGAGAGGGAAATCTCGTCTCTTTGTGGATGATGTTGAAGATCGCCATTTCCTTCTTCATCCGCTTGAGAAATATCCTTCCCCTCTTCTTCCTCTCTGCTTTCTTCTTCGTGATCTTCTTCCTTTTCGTTTTCCTCCTCTTCAAATCTTCTCCCTACCTCTTCCTCTTCCAGGTGCTCGTTCCCATACGGAGGAGACAAAGGGTCGTGTTTATCAAAGGCAGGATTGGTGATGCCTTCGTCAGGGTTAACCTTAGAAGATAAACAACACACAATAGGTAGAGTCTTGGCTCATTATCGACGCCATGTACAACCTCAAATCTCATCAAGTTAGGTTAGGTTAGGTTAGACTGACTTTACCTCGGCCATCTGGAGGGCATCCTGGTACGACGGAAGGTTCTCCACTACGTCGTCGTACGTAGGGGGCGTATCGTCAGCTGGAGACTGTGTGATGGAGAGAGATAGAGATTGAGAGATAATGATAAGGCAGAGAGAGAGAGAGAGAGAGATGCTGATGTGGTTTAGAGAGAGGGGGAAGAGAGAGATAATGAGAGATGACGTAGGAGAACAGGGAGGAGACCAAAAAGAAAGAAGAGGTGAGAGATAACGTAGGAGAACAGAGAGGAGACCTCTGGTTACTGACCTCCTGGTTTCCATCTTCGTCTCGACGTCTCCGGAGTCTCCTAGGTATCATTCGTAATCGTCTCCTAGGGGTGAGGGAGGCATTAATACATGACAATATTAATGTTGTAAGTATCTCCATCTATCTATCTATCTATCTATCTATCTATCTATCTATCTATCTATCTATCTATCTATCTATCTATCTATCTATCTATCTCCAGGGCGACAGGGAAGACACCAGTAAACTCCTCCGACTGTCACCTAAAGTAACCAATCACATCATTAGAATAAAAACGTGACATCATAACCGAGGTGATTTAAGGAGCTGCCACACCCTTCTCGGCGTCACTTCTTCCCTGGACTACATACGGTGCACAGCCTCGTTCTCCACGCTTCCAGCTCCCTCACTACCCAGCTAACTTTACACTAAGTCACTTAAGTGTATTTTTTCTTAGGTTTAGACAAAATAAACAATAATAACTCACCCGATGATCATGCTGTAGATAGATGCTATGAGGAGACAACAAGCGATGACGATACATATAATAATGGCCAACTGAAGAGCTGTTTCGTAACCCATGTAAGGTATCTTGCTGTGAGGGAGAGGTTATATTAAGTTAAGTTGGGTTAGGTTGGGACAGACTCAGCAAGTGATCAGGAACTTTTTAACATATATTAAACACGTCTCTCTCTCTCTCTCTCTCTCTCTCTCTCTCTCTCTTGTTCTGTCTGTCTGTCTGTTTCTCTTTACCTGTCTTCTCTTTCTCCCTTACATGCACTAAAAAAAACATACACGCACACCAATAAATATAAATATATAATAATGGTTACTCCTCGTGTTACGAAGATGGCCGGCTCAAGGGCCACCTAAGCGTGAATTTGTTTCAGGTGTAGAAGCTGTCGCCAACACAACAACCAGGCTCTGAGTTAACGAGTTGCATGACTCAGTTTCAAGGAATAGTCCGAGAAGACCGGACAACTTCGCCAACTGCACTGGCTGACCATTACCCCGGAATACGATCCGCAAATCGATTAACATCCAGGTTCCCAATTACTGCTGGGTAGACAGAGGCAAATGGCGTAAAGAAACTTGCCCATAGTTTCACCCTGCCCGGGGATCGACACACACACACACACACACACACGCACACACACACACACACGCACACACACACACACACGCACACACGCACACACACACACACCTTACCAGTAGCTAAACTCGTAGAAGGTACCATGGCACTGGCAGTATGACCCGGAACAAGTAGCCAGCTCGTGGGTACAGGTGTTGTTCCTACATTGTGAACCGACGTAACCTAAGCAGCAGGACGAGAGGAAAACACCGTCAGCATATTGAAGGTTTAATTATTTCTTTCTATCTATCTATCTATCTATCTATCTATCAATCTATCTATCTATCTATCTATCTATCTATCTATCTATCTCATCACCTACCACAAGGGCCGCAGTAGTAGAATGTGGTATCATGACCGAATTGTCGACTGAAGGACACACATCGATCACTCCCACAAGAGCAGCTGCCTTGTCCTGGTCAACAAAAGGAACTGTAAGTATAAACATAGTGAGTCCTCGTTACCTGTAATAATAAGGTTAATTAGCGTCTTCAGGTATCATATTCAGGTGTTGGTCTAGCCTCTGGGGATAATATTTTAGGGGTATGTGTGGGGGGGGGGTATGTGTGGGGAAGTGTGTGTGTGTGTGTGTGTGTGTGTGTGGGAGTGTGTCTGTGTGTGTGTGGGGGAGGATGTATGGGGAGTGGGGAATGTGTGGGGGGGGGAGGAAGGGGAAATGTGTGTGTGGGAGAAGTGATTGTGGGGGAAGTGTGTGTGTGTGTGTTAAGAAGTCATTCCAACTAAAACATACTGTATACACCCAGCATGCACCATTAAACAAACATCTTGTGCCATTAATGTATCAAAACTACGCCATTACATAAAAACAAAACACACACACACACACACACACACACACACACACACACACACACACACACACACGATTTATCTCACATCCTAAACAAACAATAAAATTTTACAGCAAACTACATATTACATAATCCACATTACTAATACTAATATAAAATGATTTACATAGTACAGAATTACACAATACTGTATTATGTATTGCAAGTACTGTCACCTGAACGGGTCTTCTCCCTGTACATGCTGTAAGGAGTTTTTCCTGTAATATGTCAAACTTCCCAATAGTATTTTCCGGTCATTAATTCAGCATATACTTCATGTGCGTAACCGGAAGGGTGTGGCGTGACCCATCCAGGTGTGTACAGTAGGTGTGGCGTGACCCATCCAGGTGCGTAACCGGAAGGGTGTGGCGTGACTCAGTAGGGCCTCGTGCTGTACTTGCCATACAGCCATTGTTGTATGCCTGTGTACTCATGTTATACCATTTATTTTATCTTACATTTAAGTATCATTGTGTTGCCATTACTAGTCCTGCTCTTCTCTTCTCACAACCTTGAGTCAAACCTTGTGTTGTAGTTAATGTGAGCTTGTGAACTAAATGACGTTCATCTGCGCATGCGCCGATAGGTGGAGCTTGATGAGCTGGCTGTGTCAACATAAGGTGCTCTTTCTTGTCTTGTCTCAGCCTTACTTGAAGACAGAGGTCCCTGTCTCTCCTCCTCCCTTGACTTGGTTATGGGTAAGATGTCCGTTCTTATCCCTCCTTCCCTGAAACACCTGTGACTAAAGTACAGTACATGTATCCTTTCTTAGGGAATGTTAGGTGGGAGTCCGTGGTGGTCATGCTGCTCTCCCAATTAAGTTAGAAGTGTATTTATATTATGTCTTGTACCTTCTACGTGTAAATAAGGTAGATTTACCTCTGTGTTTACCGCTGTCACCCAGTATTTTATTCATCAGCAATGTCTGAGTATTTGGCCATATTTATAACTTAGCAATATCACTTTTGTCCAGCGCTGTGTCTTCTGGGGTAGGTGAAGACACACATAGGGTTGTGTATACTGTATGTGCATAAACACCTTTGAGTCACTAGAGAGGTGAGAGGAGACTGTTGACCAGGAGGTAAACGTTTCCTGCTTAAGAGAAACGTTTGTGTAGGAGAGGACTTGAAGGACACCTTACTGATTTTTGTAGAAGGATATAGAAGAACACTTATACTCCTGTAGAAGGATATAGGAGGACACATACTCCTGTAGAAGGATATAGGAAGGGCACTCATATTCCTGTAGAAGGATATAGTAAGACACTTATACTCCTGTAGAAGGATATAGGAAGGACACTTATACTCCTGTAGAAGGATATAGAAGAACACTTATACTCCTGTAGAAGGATATAGGAGGACACATACTCCTGTAGAAGGATATAGGAAGGGCACTCATATTCCTGTAGAAGGATATAGTAAGGACACTTAGAAGGATGTAAGAAGGACACTTATACTCCTGTAGAAGGATATAGAAGAACACTTATACTCCTGTAGGAGGATATATAAGAAACACTTAATGGCACTCACTGCTGTAGAAGGCTTTCACTTAACACTTACTCGTACAGATGGGTCTGGTAGGTACTGGACTGTCCTTGCCAATCTCCATGGCCAGAATTATGTTCGGGAAAGCCGCCTCACAGGTAGTGTTAAGGGCACATGGGATGTCGTCCAGTACACAGCTGTCGTGGTCTACCGTGCAGAAGGTGGAGGAGAAGCGAGATACTGCTGGGGGAATGAGAGAGACGAGTTCAGGAATGGTCGGTCGGGGTCAGTCGGTCACAGTTCGAGTGGTTAGGTTAGGTTAGGTTAGGGTCTTACTGAACCATGCAGCCCAACACTTTCTACTCACAGTTGCTATGAGAACGGTGAGTGCTTCTGGCTCCAGCGTTCACTACCACAGCGCCGGCTTCACCATCACCACCAAGGAACACCACTGCATCGTTGCCATAGCTATCACTCAAACTATCACTTAGGGGACATAAAATAGTGAAAATAAGAGCAAGAGTGGCCACCGTTGGTCGATGGAGCGCCATTTTACTTCACTGAGAGAGAGAGAAGGAGAGAGTGGGTAGGTAGAGCGATAACAGCTTATCTTCTATCACCGCCATCCAACATTATCGTGTTTCTCATGTGAGACCGATAAGGACAGATGATGATGAAAGGAATGTTTATTCGTTGTAGGTAAAGCCATGGAAGACTTTATTAGGCTGTTCTTAGTCTAATGCGCTTTATAATGCTCAGAGACTAAATTAGGAAAACCGATGTAATTAAAAAGCATAATAATTCAATATCAAAACAACTTCTGAGTTCTTCAGGACACGAAGGGATATGTAAACCGGTCTACGGACAAGACCCCAGTCTCATATATAAAATATAAAATAAAACACTTTTATGTTAGGTTAGGTTAGGTGCTTCTATATGTCGGTCGGTCGGTCTGTCGGTAGAAAAGTGTTGGGGTTTTGTCCGTTGGGGTTTTGTCCGTTGGGGTTTTGTCCGTTGGGGTTTTGTCATGGATTCGTGTAAACCAGTGGAGCCAATCAACCTGCTGAGTCAGTATTGAAGTTTATAGTAAAATTAGTTTGAAACATAACATTAGACCAGTATGTCTATCATTCTCTCCCTCCCTCTCTGTCTTGATCAACACCTCAAGGGGGTGAAAACAAACACTACACTTAATAACTTCTTCGCCAAAACTTGAAAACAGACGAGTGAAGATTGATGTCTCGCTCAGGGAAAACCCAGAGTAATACATGGGGGTAAATGAGCTTGGTGGAAGAGCATAACACGAACACTGTCACGTCAACTATACCTAACCTAACCTAACCTAACCTAACCTAACCTAACCTAACCTAACCTCCAGAAAAGAAAAAAAAACGGACAAGTATCGGGCCTCTCTCTCCTCACCCCTACACCCGAATCCAGAATGTGTGTGTGTACAGTATGTGTGTGTGTGTCCCTCCCTCACACACACACACACACACACAGTTCAAGCGTTGTGTTGCAAAGAGAAGGATATAATGACACAATACTTAATCTAACCAAACTTAACCCCTTATCAGTGAACCCCGTTAACAAAAACATTGGTATACCCACTACTACTAGACTCTTTGGTAACTACTGCCCTTCTGGGTCCTGGTAGTAGTGTGGTAGAGGAAAGTACTTGTGGAATACTGTACTAGTTAATTTTTAATATACTGTAAGACATTGATGTTTGTTTACTTACTGTGCAGAGGGGAGGGGAATATGTGGGGTGGGTGGGGTAGTATGTGGAGGTGAGGGGGAGGGTGATGTGGAGGGTGGGTGGGGGTAGTATGTGGAGGGGGGGGGAGGGGTGGTGTGTGGAGGGAGGGATGGTATGTGGAGGGTGAAGGGGGGAGGGGTGGTATGGAGGGTGAGGGTAGGGAGGTGGGGGAAGGGTGGTATGTGGAGGGGGGGGGAGGGGTGGTATGTGGAGGGTGGGTGGGGGTAGTATGTGGAGGGTGAGGGGAGGTGGTATGTGGAGGGTGAGGGGAGGGGTGGATATGGGGGTGTGGTATGTGGAGGGTGAGGGGGGGGTGGTGGTGGGGTGAGGGGAGGGTGGTATGTGGAGGTGATGGGGGAGGTGGTATGTGGAGGGTGAGGGGGAGGTGGTATGTGGAGGGTGAGGGGGGAGGGGTGGTATGTGGAGGGTGTATGTGGAGGTGAGGAGGGAGGACAATGACGGGAGGAAAGGCTTTTTGTTATCGCAGTTTATATATTTTCATAATTATCTTAATATGATTCAAACTTTTCTTCTCCGTTGTAATGTTATCACTGTTATCTTTTAATAATATAAAGTTATGTTAAAGTTAATAAACACCGTTGACGAGAAGAAAACAAACCTTCTCACTTACCGTTCTCTATCTCATTGCCATACGTCGCTATACAAGTACATTTGTTTACACTATGAACCGCGTATGTCAGTCGTATTCACTCACCAGATTACAACAAACTGTGCATTAATTGTTATATGGGACACAGTATGGAGGATCTTCACTACAGCCACACAGACAGTAATAAACACATTTTTATGTATCTTATATCTGTAATTTGTTATCTGTAACTATCAGCTTTGTGGGGTGGCCTTCAACCGACTCAAATTTACTCACACATTGAAATATTTAAAGTCGCCTATAATTACCTGGATAGAATGATGGATATACTGTATAAAAAAACTATGTAAAAGTTCCATGAGGTTATTTAGTTAGTACGAAGTTTTATGTGGCAAAAATAACCATGAGTAAGGTTCTCCAGGGAGAGGAAAAGTTCCACTCACAGTTTGGTAAATAATTGTTCAAACGCGACGACATCATCACTACAGCTGATATCGATAACTCTAATACATAATTTTACTTTCCGGATGTATATATTTAATTTGGGTCTCTATACTCTGCTTAGGCTATAGTTCAGACAAATAATTCCTAAGTTGGTGTTGTGCGACCTACAGTATATGAGCAGTTGCAGTCAGCTCCCAGACGGCGATATTATGTGGAAATTTTACCTCCCCCAAAATCTACTCCGGTGCTAACAAATATATGTAGCTTAAAATAAGAAGGAAATTGCTAGCTGTCACTTGCATTTTGTTCCATTTTATTGATATTGTTGGGAAAGGGGGCTAGATATTTCACGGGGGTAGAAATGTCGCAAAACAAAGCGAGAACCAGTGCATGGGCAGTAGTATCCTGTTGATCGTTGTATATAGCAGTTACTCATTCACCCGAGCCACAGTTCGCTCTATTGTACGTTTAATAGTGTACATTAATCGCCGTACAACTAGTTACCTTACTGTACCACCAACAACAAGAAAATTATAAAGTAATTCGGGTATTCTTTCCAGACGCCATACACCAAGTACTGAGTAATTTGAACAAGTGTACAGTGTTGGCTAGTGGAGAGCACAGAGTTGTCATGAGGAATTTGTACCGAGTGTTGGCGTTTGTTGCAGCGTCCATGGGGAGCCAGATAACAGAACCACCTCACTACTACCAGACTAAGACAGCCGGATGTAACAGAGAACAGCCAGAATTTTGGTCGTGCCACAACCAGGTAAACTGATAATTTGGTGCTTATCACCTACAGGCTGGCCAGATATTTCATATATAAATCTTGATAAAATCACATAGGGAAAATAATGTCCTCCTTTCCTTGGCCTTTAGTGAGTCCCTTTGTAATATTTAATTTATATATACTTGATATTCCTGCCCGATGCTGCTGGTAACATTGCATAGAGGTTCCTCGTGACATTATGGGAACCCCTTTACTATAATTATGGAATGAACTCTTGAAATTGAATTGTTGGTAATGATAGCAAAGATACTACTACTACTACTACTACTACTACTACTACTACTTTTTTTTTTTTTTTTTTTTTTTTAATCGTGGCCTCCAGCCTCCCCCAATAGCCACACCTTCGCCACCATTTATTTACCTTAATATTAAATATCCTAATACATAAGCAACTATCCTATCTGTGTTAAATTAGTTGAGCCGCAGATCGATGCGGCATTCGGTGACTGTAGCCTCATAGTCGATATCTGCAGCAGTTGACGGAGTAGGGGCAGAAGCTCTCGTTCCCCTGAGGCAGAGCAAAGCCGACCGAAGGAGAGAGAAGGACAGTCGACATCTCATCCAGGCTGTGACATAACTTCTGGGCTGCTGCTTCTGTTCGGAGATCAGCTCCGCGAGTCTGGCGTAGAAACATCTTGCGCTTGGGCCCATCCCACCAGAGGTTGTGAACACTAGCGGAGTGAAGCTGCCTTGATCGACATTTTGAATTCTCTCCCCATATGCCCTTCTCTTGTCGTTCTCGTTCCTCCTATGTGCAGCATCGAGAGCTAGGTTACGGTGACAAACGGCCATGGGATCAAAAATCCTGATGTCGAAGAAGGCTCGCTGTCCCCGCGTCCAGAATCCTCGAGCACTGACGTCCACACGGGCTTCGTTAGATGTGTTTGAAGTCCTGTGTTGGAGGATCTCGCCATCCAGTGGAAGGAGGGTCGGTTCTACCATGACGTCCCGGCAGGTTTCCTTCAACATATTTGCTGTGAGATCCCTTACCTCGTCATGCCTCATGCATATGAAGCCCCCCTTCTTGCAAACCATGGCGTGATCGCCATCATAGGAATAGCCACACACGCATTGGGAGGGCAAACCATCTACTGGCCAACCGTACCTTAGAGCAATGGCATCTGTAAATTCTTGTTTGTTAAGGCTGAAACCATTTGCCCTTATCGGTAACGTAGTTAACCAGTTCGAGGCGCCCACCTCCTGCGCTATAGCTACTTTTTTTGTCAATTTTCTGGAACCTGCAGCAATAGTTGCTGCAACATGTCATTTTGGCAGTGCTGCCGATCTGTTGTAATGGATCTACGGATCTTATTAACTTCGCTGGTGTCCACTTCCCCTGTTGCATTCTGGGCTATTATGTGGTCAGTGAGGGCTGCCGTGAGCTTAAGTGAATTTTGATGTTCAGAGTCAGCAATCTCCTCTGGATTAGTTAGTCCCATCCCTCCCAGTCTTGGTGGAAGTGCAAGAAGTGTTCTTTCTACTGGGGTTAAGTCGTGGTGTTTCACTAGTTTGGGAATGAACTTGACACTGATTGCTTCTTCCAAAGGGTGGAGGAGGGGTCGGATCTCAGGGATGGTACGCATCAGGTAGTTCCAACGATGCTTGACTCCATGTGTGAATGCTGCAAAGGCCGCATGTGGCTCTGTGTTAGCAATCTCCGATAGAGCATGGATTTCGCTAACCCACTCGTTCACCTTTCCCCCTACGTACTGGGTCTTGAAGTCCGTAGTGCCAATTACTGCGCCTAGATGTCTTTGGCCGTCCTTAGTTATTTTGACCTCACTTTCGCCGAAAACCTCCACAGCCCGATCATAATGATCTGGCTTCACGATGAGGAAGGATTTGCTGGCGTTTGGGTGGTACCCTATTTGTGGACCTCGCGATGTTACCAGGTCCCACCACTTTTTGATGTCCTCCACTTTTCCTGCTCCTGTGAGGTCATCAGCATATGCCACTTGTTTGACCCCAGTTGTTTCATACTTTATTTCTTGTTGGAGCACTGATAGGCCTATTGCATACATTGCCATTGCAACGGGGTCCCCCTGTGTTGTTCCCTCGGTCGACTGTAGGATGGTATCACCTCGTAGAGCCTTGTTGTTTACTATGTAGAGGTCTGAAGGATTCCTATACGAATTTTCAACATACATCGCAAAGCTAGGACACTTGATCTTGATGTTGTGCAGTGCAGCCTTGCGGTTAAGTATGTTGAATGCGTTTGAAGCATCCACCAGGAGAACGGCCTCACAATCACGCTGCTCAAATATCAATCTCATGGCGTGAATGGCCGCCTCCCCACCAGCCTGGTGGCCAGCACACACTTGTAGGTTCCCTGCTGCTGCCCTGACATCATCCTTTACCACCTCCATTATACACTTTCCGATGATCCGCCTCAGCACTTCCCCCACCCCTATAGGTCTACATCCTGGTTTCTTTTCCAGAGGAATAAGGCGGCAGGCCGTCAGAGCCTGGAGGTGATGGCAGCAAGAGGATGCAAGCTTTCTTGCAAGGGTGGCAATGGCAGTGCAGAGATCGCTTGCTACAGGGCCAAACTTGTTTGTGCTGAGGATGACTCTCCAACCGTTTGCATCCAGACCTGAAGGGCCGGCTCCGCCTCGAGTCTTCAGTGCCTTTTTCCACACCATCTCTCCTGTTATTTTCTCGAACAGGACAGCGTTTGGTGGGATATAAGCACCCTGGAGCCTGATGCCTTCATCTTCGCTTGCAGGGGGATGTTTCTCTTTCAATAGTTTTAATGTCGCTCTGTTTATTGGCATCACTCCACCGGAGGATTCATGTGTGAGAGATCTTACCGCGAGAGACACTTTTCCCACACGCATTTTGTTTCCAAATTGTCTTGCCACGTCATCGGTGTTTTGCTTTCCGTCACCCGTAGATTTTAGTCTCTCCTGCAGTGTTCTTGCTTCACATAGGAGATCATCTAGGGCCCCAGTCTGCCACATTGTCAACCTTCTCTTCATTGCTGCCACATTTTCTTTGTGCTTAGCCTTTGTGTGTGTCCTCTGACAAAATAGATGTGGTATTATTGCCAGTATTTGAAGAGCTAGGGGGGCGAGGAAGCGGTCCTGAGTGTAATCAGTCATGAAGTGAGTCATCTCCCGAATCATTTCTTTGGTGGCCGCACACTTGGGTGGTTCAAATAAGTTAGCGGGCGACCACTTGACAATTTCTGAGTAGGTTTCTTTGACCCATACGCCTGCATTTTCCATCGACATGCCATTCCACTGAGGCGGCTGTCTCTCATTCTCCTCGTGGACACCTGCTACTGAGGGAGCAGCATTTATTAGTACTACATTATCGGGTTGAGTAGACTCACTGCTATCATTTCGGATATCATCGGGTAGTTGGGTCCCGGCGATATCCACTGTGGCCGCCTGTGTCGGCTCCCTGCGACGTGGGTTCCGACACTGGTCTAGCTTCCTGCAATTCACACATGGTCGGTTATTTCTCGCACAAACACAATTTGTGCAGTTTTGGTTCGGGCTAGCACAGACGCAGCAAGGAATGTTACCAGGCATAGTGACCAGCACCTTGGGCGACGGTAACGTCCGCCTCCGGACATCTGATTTAGTCCCAGGCACAAGATTATACTGGTTCTTATGAGGGAAGGGCGGAGAGGTGACAGGCTGGACTGGTGTGTCCAGGTAGTAGGGGCATACGTGCGCGCGTGGGTGTGTAGGTTACCCCCCCTAATAGCGACCATCCATACATCAGAATGATACACTATGGACAAGAGTTTGTCACACCAGGCACTAGTTTATATTTCCTTGGCACAAATAACCACTATTTATATGGTCTCACTGGTGTAATATCAGTTATGTATACTCACTAGGTTCGTCGAGACCCTACATTAAGAGTCCGTTACTATGGTGGTGGGGGGGTGGGGGCGACCGCATGGGCAGCACTCTCGGCCCCATAGGGGCGATAGTCTCGGGACCACCCCTGTCACAGTAGGCCTAACGACACTGACCTTGGCGCCGAGCCTTCTCATTATCCTACCACTGACCCAGCACAGGTCACCACTCACTTGGTGAACGCCGGTGAACACACGGAATATTTACAATTTATGCCGTAAGGGATGAGGAGAAACCTTGGGTGGCAATGCTTAGGGTGACATCCGATATTCACGGACACATTGTCAAATTCCCGCTCCCACACAACGAGTATGTCCCCACCAATAACACTTTAGATCAGGAGGGACGGTCCACGACACCCACGCCGCGCTGGCCGCCTACTACTACTACTACTACTACTACTACTACTACTACTACTACTACTATTACTACTACTACTACTACTATTACTACTACTAATAATAATAATAATAATAATAATAATAATAATAATAATTTATAGGTCGTGAGTTCAGGTATTCCCTCCACTAATATGATGTGAGAGAGAGAGAGAGAGAGAGAGAGAGAGAGAGAGAGTAAAATCCTCATACGAGTATAATACAGGTATACTGTGCAGCATATACTGTATACAGCATCTAGACGTCATAGTGTACCTAGACAGTACAGGTATACAGATATACAGTTGCAATCAGTAAGGTATTTTAACCAATCATGTGTGTTCCTCCTCGTGGCAACACACGGTAAATGGGTGCCTTGTGGGTCCAGGCTAGACCAGCAAAGGATCTCGGAATAGCAGTGGGCCCCAGAGGGACTGCGCATAGGCCACTGGCATGTGGACACGTCCTGGCGCCTACCAACCATTGCCCCGCTGCCTTGCGGATTAACCTTGGTTGGTATAAGGCTACGGGAGTAAACCCTAAATGAAAAATCTGCGGTGGAGCCCCGCATCAAGCAGATATGCTAACAGAGCTCCAACAAGCCCAACGGTGGTATAGGCAGAAGAGGTGACCAACATGGGAACCCAACGACTACACCGGCGGACGAAGGCAATGCCTGATGGACAGGCTACTAAGACGAAACCCAACAAACTGGGCTATCGGCAGTCCATTGCAAATCTCCCTTTCCCCAGTCGTTGCACCAAAGGATCAGGAAAAGGGAGAACCAACATGTGTGGTTGCAGCCTGCGTTCTTGCCTCACCACATAAATCAACTCACGTGCAGCCATCATTCAGCTCATCATACCTCTCATCATCATCAAAACCCTTATACCCCTAAAAGTCCTATGGCGACGGACGATTGGCGACGGGGACAGGCAGAGATGACTGCTTGGAGTCTCTAGTCACAACTCTGCACATGGGCGGCACAGATCAGATGGTCGTTTATGTACTGGGATCTAGGCAGCAGTGCAATCCGGTCCTGTCTGTGCGACTGAGCAGCCCTTTCGGGTAGCCACTCTGCTCACCCCACATGGGGTGGGGGCTAGAAAAGGTGCCCTAAACATAGGCTGTCTAAAAACCCAACCTGACTGAGCAACTGCACCCACTAAGGTCATCCTTATACGGTCGAAGACACAATCGAAATTACAGATCCAAACCAAAAAAAAAAATCCAACTTCTTATGCATGAAATGTCAGGACCCTTCTGGATACTGCTGTTGTGGCAAAAGGGCTGGCTAGGTATAACATCCACATAACAGCCATCAGTGAGTTCCAGTTTCCAGACGAGGGTCAACTCACAGAACGGGGGTCTGGCTATACTTCTTCTGGAAGGGTAAGCCTGCTGCAGAGAGAAACCGCATTAATGTAGTTGTCTTTGTCATCCATCAATGCATCCTACACAGACTAACTGAAATGCCTATTGGGGTCAACGTGCGCCTCATAACACTCCGCGTCCCACTGAAATTCATGCCTTTTTAATCAGTGCATACGTTCCAACACTGGATGCAGAGGATGAAATCAAAGAGGTCTTTTACTCCGACCTCGACAGAGTGCCAACCTCTGTCTCCAGAGAAGATAAGGTTGTGCTCTTTGGTGACTTCAATGCTAGATTTGGCAGAGATGCTGACATTTGGCAGGGAACCACAGGGAGAAATGAACAAGGCAAGTGTAATCCCAACGGCCTACTCCTCAGCAAGTGTGCTGCACACAACCTCACTATCACCAATACCTTGTTTAGGCAGGCTGACAAGTTCAAGGGTTTGTGGCAAATCCAGGATCCAGACACTGGAATCTCATTGACTACATCATTGTCAGAGAAAGAGATTGCCGAGATGTCCTCATCACCCTAGCCATACGTGACTCAGACCACTGCGACACTGATCATCGACTCGTCAGAGCCAAGCTCTCACTTCACGTCCCACCAAAACGGCGAAGGCAGCAAGCCTCTAGAAGAGGTTTTAACAATAAGCGTCTGGAGGATCCAGCGGTAGCACATGCTTTCTGAGAGCAGCTCGAAGAAGGGCTGATAAACAGCCCGACAACAAACAACCTGTGCCGAATGGGATATTCTCGACACAGTCATGACAAACACCTGCAGAGACCCTCGGCCAGATCGAAAGAATACACCAGGCTTGGTTTGATGAAAATGACCCGGCAATCAATGTACTCATCGATGATAAACGTGCTGCTGTAACTACCTGGCAAAACAATCTTCAGTATTGGACCAAAGCTGATACCTTCCGCAAGAAGAAAGCGGCGGCGCAACGGGAACTTCGCAATCTAAAGAACGACTGGTTTGAAAATAAAGCATGTGAAACAAAAAAATTGCAGATCAGCACAAGATGTGTGAGTTTTTTAATTCCAATAAAACATTTTATGGGCCAATCGCGCATGGCGCAGCCCCCTCCGTTCATCTGACAGGAACTCCACAATTAAAGACGATGAAAGCCTCCTTCACTGCTCTACCGGAACACCAATGTGGATGTCCTGACTACCCAGCAGGGCCATCAGCATCCAGAACTGACCCATCACAGCTATCCTCCATCCCTGGATGAGGTAGCTACTGCCATGAAACAGATAAAAAATAACAAAGCCTCAGGTTTGATGGAATCCCAGCCGAGGTGTATAAAGCAAGAGGACCTCTGCTTACCAGCCGTCTCCACTCTCTCCTGGAGAATATATGGGAAAGGGAGGAAATCCCCCAAGCTCTTAAAGGCGCCTCCATCGTCAATATTTAAAAGAACAAGGGAGATCGGTCAGACTGTGGCAACTACCGTGGGATCTCGTTGCTATCCGTAGCTGGCAAGATTATCGCCCGAGTCCTCCTAAGCAAACTTCTTCCTGAGGCGGAAAACTTCCTCCCAGAATCTCAATGTGGCTTTAGAAGTTTAGACCATCACGTGGCACCACTGACATGATCTTTGCTGTCCGTCAGATACAGGAAAAGTGCAGAGAACAGCGTCGTGATCTGTACATGGCTTTCATCGACCTGACCTGTAATAATAGTAAACGTAACGCTGGCGGGCAACTGAAAAGGTATAAGGATAGTCTTAAGACAAACCTGAAAAGTGCCAAATCGACCCCCTCACCTGGGAGACGATTACTTCACATCGTAACGCTCGGAGGATCACCATACGAGGTGTCAATACTTTCTAGTCAGCCCGACTGCATAACGAGGCAGAGAAGCGCCAACGCCGGAAAGACACTGCCGCTGCCCCTCCCGCACTAGATTTAGCCCCCCACATGTGCAACATCTTTAGTCACCTCAGAACTCACCAACCAAGGTGACATCCTTAATAACTCATATCATTGTATCATACCAGGATGATCGTCATACTCGATTCCAAGTGACAGCAAAGTAGTAGTAGTAGTGTGTGTGTGTGTGTGTGTGTGTGTGTGTGTGTGTGTGTGTGTGTGTGTGTGTGTGTGTACCAGGAAAATGTAATATTCATGTATCGCTGTGAAGAAAGTTTTTGTTATATTTCGTGACGTATTTTCCTCTCTCTCTCTCTCTCTCTCCATAATGTAACCTAACCTAACCGCACCTGCCTTACGCCCACAGTTTGTCAACACACCTCAGTATTCCAGTTGTTTCTTCAGAACTATTGCAGAGGAAAAGGAAGACAAAGATCCGAGGGAGATAGATAGAGAGCGACAAGCAGGTGAGTGAGATAAAAAGATAAAGAGAGAGAGATAATGAGGTGAGTGAGAGAGAAGTAGACAAAGTGAGACAAAGAAAAGAGGAAGAGAGTGAGAGAAAGAGAGATAGAGATAGGTGAGTGAGAGAGAAGTAGACAAAGTGAGACAGAAAAATGAGAAAGAGAAAGAGAGATAGAGATAGGTGAGTGAGAGAGAAGTAGACAAAGTGAGACAAAGAAAAGAGAAAGAGAGTGAGAGAAAGAGAGATAGAGATAGGTGAGTGAGAGAGAAGTAGACAAAGTGAGACAGAAAAATGAGAAAGAGAAAGAGAGATAGAGATAGGTGAGTGAGATAGAAGTAGACAAAGTGAGACAAAGAAAAGAGAAAGAGAGTGAGAGAAAGAGAGATAGAGATAGGTAAGTGAGAGAGAAGGAGACAAAGTGAGACAGAAAAATGAGAAAGAGAAAGAGAGATAGAGATAGGTGAGTGAGATAGAAAGAGAAGGAGTAAGATTGTGTGTTTGATTATAATCTTAGAAACTTTATTTATTTATTTATTTTACAGAATGCACGTTACCTCCCCAGGCAAAGCTTTACCCAGCTCAAGACCGGCCATTCCACCTTGCTCTGTATTACATCAGCGAAGACAATCTATTTCGTCCTGGTCTTGCTATCTACTTTCCCAATAAGACGACAGAAAGTAAGTACATAGGACTATTTACCACCTCCCTCCATCACACACACACACACACACACACACACACACACACAAACACACACAGACAAACACATACACACACATTGAATTATATTACGTATACATTTAATAATAAATTCCATTATTTTTTCTCTGTACTTTATATTTATTTTATATTTCCAGATACAACATTCCGCTTTCAAGATACATATAATTCTCGTGAACAAGATTTATGCTTTCAAATGATTCTTACTAATGTGACTTTACCTCTGCAAGACACCTTGACTTATGACTGCCCGTTCTTTGATCATATCCTCGACCGCACATTACAACTGACCGTACAGGATAGCGGTGGAAGAGGCGGTTTATACTCGTTTGTTGTGCCTAATGCTTCAAGAATTGGTGAGTCACGTTTTGTTTTAGTATTTGGTGAGGTGGAGGTGTGAGGAAGGTGAAGGTGTGAGGTGTGAGGAGGGTGGGGGGGGAGGTGTGAGGAGGGTGAAGGTGTGTGGTATGAGGAGGGTGAAGGTGTGAGGTGGGAGGGTGAAGGTGAGGTATGAGGAGGGTGAAGGTGTGAGGTATGAGGAGGGTGAAGGTGGAGGTGGTATGAGGAGGGTGAAGGTGGGAGGTATGAGGAGGGTGAAGGTGAGGTATGGACGAGGGTGAAGGTGAGAGGTATGGGAGGAGGGTGAAGGTGAGGTATGAGAGTGAAAGAGGTATGAGGAGGGTGAAGGTGAGAGGTATGAGGAGGGTGAAGGTGAGAGGTGTGAGGAGGGGTGAAGGTGAGAGGTATGACGAGGGTGAAGGTGAGAGGTGAGGGTGAAGGTGAGAGGTATGAGGAGGGTGAAGGTGAGGTGAGGAGGGTGAAGGTGTGAGGTATGAGGAGGGTGAAGGTGTGAGGTGTGAGGTATGAGGAGGGTGAAGGTGTGAGGTATGAGGGGAGGTGAGGTATGGGTGAGGTGAGGTGAGGAGGGTGAAGGTGAGAGGTATGACGAGGGTGAAGGTGAGGGTGAAAGGTGAGGTGAGGTAGGAGGAGGGATGAGGAGTGGGTGAAGGTGAGAGGTGTGAGGAGGGTGAAGGTAGGAGGTATGAGGAGGGTGAAAGGTATGAGGAGGTGAAGGTGGAGGTAAGGAGGAGGGTGAAGGTGTGAGGTATGACGAGGGTGAAGGTGAGAGGTATGAGGAGGGTGAAGGTGTGAAGGTATGAGGAGGGTGAAGGTGTGAGGTATGAGGAGGGTGAAGGTGTGAGGTATGAGGAGGGTGAAGGTGTGAGGTATGAGGAGGGTGAAGGTGTGAGGTATGAGGAGGGTGAAGGTGTGAGGTATGAGGAGGGTGAAGGTGAGAGGTATGAGGAGGGTGAAGGTGAGGGGATCTGAACTATCACGATTTACCTGAATATTTTCTCCCCTGCCCACCCTATCCTTCCAGCATAGTTTACCTGGAGATCAATTACCAAAACCTAACCTAACCTAGCCTAACCATAGACCACCTCTCTTTACAGACCACAATATTCTCATGTTTATCTCTGAATGTCCCCCCAAACAGATCCTTACCAGACGAGACAAGAAGACTGGCATCTGTTCCACTATGTCCATCTGTCACACATTCAGAGGCATTTAGGTGTACCAGTGACCCTCCAGACGGCACCGTTTGCTAACCTATCCTATGGTGTTTCCCTTTGGCGCTGTCAGGAAGATGATTGTGCTAACCTAGAACTCGTGAATACATTAAGAATTGAAGGACCTAAACGGTATTTAATGATTTGTTTTTTTTTTTCTCTGTGGTTGGAAGATGATTGTTGTTGTTATTGTTTTTGTTTTTTGTTAGTGTTTGTTTTGTTTTTGTTATTTTTAATGTTTTGTTTTTGCTTTGTTATTATTATTATTATTATTATTATTATTATTATTATTATTATTATTATTATTATTATTATTATTATTATTATTATTATTATTATTATTATTATTATTATTATTATTATTATTATTATTATATGTTAGATATATAATGTTATATGTCTCTTTGGGTTACATGAAGATTAGCCTCCAGCTTATTTCACCTAAGGATTTAATCACCCAAACGCTAACCTAACCTAACCTAACCTAACCTAACCTAACCTAACCTAACCTAACCTAACCTAACCTAACCTAACCTAACCTAACCTTACCTAGCCAAAGCAAATCTAACATTAATTTTCGTTGATTCAGTATCTACCTGCGAGAGGATGAAGCACCTCAGGTAACTCGTGTCTTCCCTCGACCTTCTCCCGGCAAATACCTCATCACATGTCGAATCCTGGACCCAGACTCTCCTGCAGAAGGATTCTACAATGCAACCTCTCCCGAATTTGGTAAGAGTCACTCACCCAGGTTTATGTACTTAGTCTAGGAGATGTAAACAGAGAAACCAGTTATCAGATGAACAACGGTGTTAAAGAGAAATCCGACTGTGAGAAAGATTCAGGATTAATGATAAGTAGAAATCTTAACCCAAGACAACAATGTGTATTTGCTCGAAACAAGGCTAATAAAGTACTTGGGTTCATACAAAGGAGTGTTAGTTACAAGACTAGCGAGGTCATCCTAAAACTATATCTTGCGCTTGCGAGATCTCACTTGGATTACGCAGTTCAGTTCAGATCACCGAACTACAGAATGGATATAGAATCCCTAGAAAGAATTCAGAGGAGAATGACAAGACTAATCCCGGGCATTAGGAACCTTGAGTACAGAGACAGGTTAAAGCATCTTAATCTGCACTCCCTTGAGAAACGTAGAGTGAGGGGCGATATGATCGAGGTGTACAAATGGAAGTCAGGGCTGAACAAAGGGGACATTACAAAGGTACTCAAACTATCCAAGCAGGAGCGAACTCGTAGCAATGATTTTAAATTAGACAAATTTAGATTTAGGCGCGAAATAGGTAAACATTGGTTTGGAAATAGAGTAGTGGATGAGTGGAACAGGTTACCAAACATCATCATTAACTTGAATACGCTGGATAGCTTCAAACATAGGTTGGATGGGCATATGAGCAATAGGGGTTGGGTGTAAACGGGACTGCCCAGTATGGGCCAATAGGCCAACTGCAGTTTCCTCCATTCATATGTTTTTATATCCTTCTAAGTCAGGTTTATGGCAGATTATGTCAGTTTATGTCAGGTCTATGTCAGATTTTATGTCAGTGTATGCCAGGTTTATGTCAATGTAAGTCAGGTTTATGTCAATGTAAGTCAGGTTTGTCAGATTTTATGCCAGCTTATGTCAGATTTTATGCCAGTGTAAGTCACGTTTATGTCAGTGTAAGTCAGGTTTATGTCAGTGTAAGTCAGGTTTCTGTCAGTGTAAGTCAGATTTGTGTCAGATTTTTATGCCAGTTTATGTCAGGTTTATGGCAGATTTTATGTCAATGTACAGGTATGTCAGTTTATGTCAGTGTAAGTCAGGATTACATCAAAAAAATATCAAGGGTTACATATAAAAGTCAAAGGTCACATAATTAGGTCAACTCTTCCTCCAGTCTTAACTACAACATCCTAACACTTACAGTGGTGCCCCCCGATATTTTCCTGACGATGGTGATAGTCATTACTATGGGAGTGCTGGTGGTGGTGGTGACTCTCTCTCTGGCCTGCCGGTACCTACAGAAAGTGCAGAAAGGTGAGTGAGCTGGTTATATTACCTGAAGATTACATAGATACCCTACCAGCTTATATTACCTGAAGATTAACTACCCTAGTGCTAACCTAACTTAACCTAACCACCTTAAACACTAACACTAACCTATCCTAACCACTTTTACACTAACCTTATTTGATATAGGTTGTTAAATATCCCGTGGACAATAACTTAGCAATGATTACTGAAGTTTTCAGTCTTTTTCCTCAGATATTTACCTTCAGCTGAAAGAAGATAAGCAGATGCGTCCCAGAGTGTTGCTGATATACCTTGCAGAGTCCTGGAGTCACTTTGAGGTCGTGGTGAAATTGGCGATTTTCCTGAGAGATACCTGTTTCGTTAACCCTTTCATGGTCGACACTCACAGCATCAGAAAGGTGGGTATGTTGGTATAAGAACATATGAACATAAGAACGGGGAAAAGTGCAGCGGGCCTATTGGCCCACATTGGACAGTCCCGTTTACACCCAACCCCTATTGCTCATATACCCATCCAACCTATGTTTGAAGCTATCCAGTTTATTCGAGTTAATGATGATGTTTGGTAACCTGTTCCACTCATCCACTACTCTATTTCCAAACCAGTGTTTACCGATTTCGCGCCTAAATCTAAATTTGTCTAATTTAAGCCATTGTTACGAGTTTGCTCCTGGTTGGATAGTTTGAGTACCTTTGTTATATCACATTTGTTTAGCCCTGACTTCCATTTATACACCTCGATCATATTGCCCCTCGATCATATTGTCTCTCGAGGGAGTGCAGATTAAGATGCTTTAACCTGTCTCTGTACTCAAGGTTCCTAATGCCCAGGATTAGTCTTGTCATTCTCCTTTGAATTCTTTCTGGGGATTCTATATCCATTCTGTACTACGGTGACCAGAACTGAACTGTGTAATCCAAATGAGGTCTCACAAGCGCTAGATATAGACCTCGCTAGTCTTGTAACTAACACTCCTTTGTATGAACCCAAGTACAGACAGGTGGATATATGATCAGACAGGTGTGACAGACAGGTGGGTATAGGACAAGACAGATGTGATAGACAGATTGGTTTATGACAGACAGGTGGGTATATGACTAGACAGGTGTGCCAGAGAAGGTGGGTTTATGCCAGACTGCAGGTGGATATATGATTAGACAGTTGTGACAAACAGGTGGGTATATGATTAGATAGGTGTGACGGATAGGTTGGTTTATGACAGACAGGTGGGTATATGACTAGACAGGTGTGCCAGACAGATGGGTTTATGAGAGACGGGTGGGTATATAACAGACACGTGTGACAGACAGAAGTATTTGTTGTCATTAGCCAAAGTCTTAGTCTGTGTCTGTAATTGGCTGTACAGTATGTCTTGTAAAGTCATCCGGATGCCTTAATTATCCCAAATGCTAAATATGTCTGGAAAGAATCTACTTTTTCCAAATAGTAAAGTCAAATACCCTGAGACCTAACCTAACATAACCTATTAATCACTCAATGTAGAAATTTAAACAACGACCCCTTAGACTCTTAGACTTAACTTAACCTAACCTAACCTACACTTATTTACAGCACCCTAATAACTGGACAAGCGAACACTTCCAATTAGCTGACCGAGTCGTGTTCCTGGTGCCAGAGAACTTGTCCTCTCAGAGTGTCACGCCCAACAAGCGGCACTGGGAATATGCTCTTTGGTACATGAATGGCCCTACCTTCAACCAGAACCTCCACAAGTTTGGCACTGTGCTCATGCCCTTCAGTGCCCCCGTCCCCCATCAGGTAAGGAAAGATTTTTGAGATAGAAAGATAGATAGATAGATAGATAGATAGATAGATAGATAGATATAAGGAGAGATCCACATGCCATCTCTTTACACAACGCTAGTATATGTATGCCGTCATTCGTTACAGATCGCTCACGTGCATCGCTTTAAACTCCTACAAGACCTGACCAGCTTTGTGATCTGGCTCCACAACGGCAAACTGCTGGACCGCTGGCTGTTCTGGAGGTCACACATCAAATCAACAAGTAGTGAAGGTGACACTCTCTCTTTCCCTGACCTGATGCGCCTCCTACAGAAAGAACCGGTGGGTCACAGAGACGAGAAGTTCAAGTTTGAGTGGACGACCTGTCAAGAAATCCTGAAGGGGGAGGACATTAAGATAGAACAACCTCAACCTGAAGAAGTAGCAGAAGAAACAAAAGAAGCAGAAGATATGACAAAGTGTAGAAATTCCAGTGATAATGACATATCCGAAGTGTTTGATAGGGCCATAGCCGACGTGAGTGTCCTTGTTAGTGAGCAGCCTGACGAAGGAGCCGAAGGATACGAGTCCTCAGACTATGAAGGATCTATCTTAAACGATGATATTTTACTCTAATGATAACAAGAGTAACTGGTGATTTAAGGTCAGAGGTCAGAGGTCAGAGGTCAGCCAATGAGTTACCTTCCCTATAATGAATCCATAGGTGCTCTTGACTTCCCGATCGTCCTACAAAGGTCCCCTCAGACGGCAAGTTTTTGCCAACATGGGGGGTCGACATAAACGTCCCAGAGGAGGTTCTCTCATGGACGCAGACATCTCTGATACGGATGCCATCGCCAACTTGCCTGGTCATACTGAATTCAACACCCTTCAAGAGTCAGACCCCAGTGATTATGACAGTGGCGGTAATGTTTCTATGGGAAACACTAGCCGGAGTGGAAACACCAATGCCACAGACCCTATCACCCTGCCCTCTGCCAACCAGCCAAGTAAGCTGAATCTGCACTTCCCCAAGGACTCACTGAAAACCGTAGAGGAACGCTTTAATTGGATGATGAAGTACTGCAGACAACACCGTCTCAACATTCAATTCCGACAAGGTAAGAACCAGAGCTTTATCAAGTGTCAGACTCCTGAGGTCTATGAAACACTTAGTACTGTTTGGCTTTGACCGGGTTGTCCTGGTCCCCCACCCAGTAGACGCTGAGCTGATGAATGTTGCCACATCCTAGTGAAACGATTCTCCCTATACGCTGACATCGAAGATGTGCGTTACTTTAATTCTAGTATACTCAGTATACAATCAACATTACCGGGGGAACACCCCACAAGCTGCTGTCATTGTCAAGTGGAAGGGAAGGGAATGCCCAACCACTGTGGAGGCCCACCCAATCCTCCCTCTACTTTATGCAGAACCCTATCACCCGGGGCCTGCTTTTTGTGTTATCTGTTCTCATTGCAGTCACACCTTCACTGCCTGCTGCCGACGTGATCGTCCTAGATGTCGCTTCTGTTCACGTAACGATAACTCCGCCGCCTGTGCCCAGAAAATCAAAGACCACCTTAATAGGGGTGGTGTGGGCTATGTAGTTGATCCCAGGTGTTGTAACTGTGGCAGCCGGCACAATGCTGACTCACAGCAGTACCCCAATCGCCCGTCTGTCCCAGGGGAAAAGCCGCCCCGAAGGCCGCATCTACCACAATGCCCCCCACAGTCTACAGGGCCGCCTCCCTCTGGGTCCCCTCTGTCTCCAGCAACGCCTTCTTCAACAACACCTGGCCCTGCCTGGCCTCACCTGGCTGCAACACAACAGTCCCGGCCGTCTCCTAACTCAACTACTACTGGGCCTCCTCCCCGTCTCTACTCTGAGGCTGTCAGGCCTTGTGCTCCCACCGGTACCCCCCCACAACCCCCCGCCAGTGACATGACACAGATCATATCCCTCTTCCAAGAATTTACCAAACGTATTGAACAACTCTTCGCTACACTCTGTACCACCATCTCCCACCTACTCCTGCCCTCTGTTGCCACCCAGTCACTCCTCTCTTCTGGTTTGACACAAGCTGTTGGTCCCCCTGTGAGCCCCCCCTGCTCACGGCCTACTCCACCGCCGGCGGCCTTCACTACTGGTGTAGCGCCTACCGGGCCTGCCCTGGTGTGTCCTGCTGCCCCCGAGCGAAGTCCTGCCCCATCCTCACAACACTTGGTGCCTCAACCTGTCCCTCCACCACCAAGCCGCCCTCTGTGTCTCTTGCTGGGGACACCATCCCTGCAGCTACCCGTACCCACCGGCATGTCGACGCACACACCATCACAATCCACTAAAAGTTATGTCCCTCAATATTGTCAATGCCTATGTGCACTCCTCCACCCTACTGTACCTGTCCCACCACAACATATCACCTCCACCCCCACCATGCTTCGCCACGTCTAATACATTGGCAACCCCTGAAACCTGTACACCTGTTTGCAAACTTTGTGGTCAACCCGACTCACACCCTCCGTCACTACATCCTCCACTTGCCCCTGGCCTCCTCTACAGGTCCCCCCAGCCGTTACCACCTCTTCCCTCCCTGACCAGATATATCCCTCCTCCACCGTGACAGGCCTGGCACTTGACTTCAATGGGGATCTGCCACTGCCATAAACAGAAAAAATTGAACCGGGAATTTTCCCCCACACACTCATCATTCTGTGACTTTATGTAACTTGCTAATGCAAACCCACTGACCCTTCGAAATCTTTACGCCCTTAATGCGCGTTCATAAAGGCAAGCATGAACTCCGCATGCTTGCAGATGGGCGCTGTGAACGCTTCTGCTCTTCACATTGCACAGGATGTAGAGGTGCCCAATAAGCTGCGCCCCCTCAGGGGGGCACCTAAAGAAAATGAATCTCTACAGGTAGTCATTATTTTATACTATTGTTTGATTTTTATAATAAAGAATAAAGTTAATTTGTTTTAGTTTCTATAAAATAAAGGAATAAATTTTCCCATATTTACTAATATTCGCAGCCATAAGGAAAATAAACAACTTGTAATCAGTTAACACACACACAACACACACACACACACACACACGGCCAAGATATAGTCCCTAGTGTAGTAGAGGTAGTGAGGGGTAGTATGTGTGGTAGGAGGTAATAGAAGGTAGTGGAGGGTAGTATGAGGTAGAAGGGTAATAGAAGGTAGTGGAGGTAGTATGTGGTAGGAGGGTGAAGGTAGGAGGGTAGTATGAGGTAATGGGTAATAGGGGGTAGTGGAGGGTAGAGTGTGGTGGAGGTAGTATGTGTGGTAGGAGGGAGGGTAGTATGTGTGGTGGGAGAAAGGAGTAGTGGAGGGTAGTATGTGGTAGGAGGGAGGAGTAATATGTGTGTAGGAGGGTAGTGAGGGTATGTGTGTAGGAGGGTAGTAGAAGGTGGAGGGTGTGTGTGGTAGGAGGGTGGAGTGAGTGAGGTAGAAGGGTAAGGTAGGGAGGTAGTATGTGTGTAGGAGGGCAGGAGGGTAGTATGTGTAGGAGGGTAGGGAGGGGAGTATGTGTGGTAGGAGGGTAGTGGAGAGTAGTATGTGTGGTAGGAGGGTAATAGAGGTAGTGGAGGGTAGTATGTGTGGTAGGAGGGTGGAGGGTAGTGTGTGGTAGAAGGAAATAGAAGGTAGTGGAGGGTAGTATGTGTGGTGGAGGGTAGTGAGGGTAGTATGTGTAGTAGGAGGGGTAGTGGAGGGTGCAGTATGTGTAAAGGCTGTGGGAGGGTAGTAGTGTGTAGGAGGGTAGTATGTGTAGAGGGCAGAGGTGTGTGGAGGGGTGGAGGTAGATGTGGTAAAGGTAGGGAGGTAGTGTGTGTAGGAGTAGTGGAGGAGTAGGTAGAAGGGATAGAAGGTGGAGGGAGTAGAGGAGGGAGGAGGGTGTGGTAGGAAGGACAGAAGGTAGGAGGGTAGTATGTGTGGTAGGAGGGTCAAAGGTAGTGGAGGGTAGTGTGTGTGGTAGGAGGGTAGTGGAGGGTAGTATGTGTGGTGGGAAGGTATAGAAGGTAGTGGAGGTAGTATGTGTGTGAAGGTAGGGAGGGTAGTATGTGAAGGTAGTAAGTATGTGTAGAAAGAATAGAATAGGGAGGGATGGAGGTAGAAGGGCAGGAGGGTAGTATGTGTAGTAGGAGGGTAGTGGAGGGTAGTATGTGGTAGGAGGGTAGTAGGTGGAGGTAGTATGTGTGGTGAGGAGGGTAGAAGGAGGGGTAGGGTGGAGGGTAGTATGTGTGGTAGGAAGGCAGAAGGAGGGGTAGTATGTGTGGGTAGGAGGGAGGTAGTATGTGGTAGGAGGGTAGTGGAGGTGTATGTGGTAGAAGGTGGGAGGGTATGTGTGGTAGGAAGGTAATAGAAGGTAGTGGAGGGTGGTATGTGTGTAGAAGGGTAGTGGAGGGTAGTATGTGTAGTAGAGGGTAGTGGAGGTAGTATGTGTGGTAGGAGGGTATAGAGGAGTGGAGGGGTATGTGTGGTAGGAGGGTAGTGGAGGTAGTAAGTGTGGAGGAAGGTGGGGTGGGTGGTGGGGGTGGGTGGGAGGGTGGGAGGGGGGTGTGGTGGAGGTGGAGGGTGTAGGAGGGAGAGGTAGTATGTGGTGAAGGAGGAGGTTGTGTGGTGGGGTAGTGGGTAGTAGTGTGGGGGAGGTAGTTGTGGTAGAGGTAGTGGTGGTAGTATGTGTGGTGAGGTGTGGGAGGGTAGTGGAGGTAGTATGTAGAGGGGGGTGTGTGGAGTGTGGAGGGTGTGTGTGTGAGTGGAGGTAGTATGTGTGTAGGAGGTAGTGGAGGGTAGTTGTGGTAGGGGAGGGGTAGTGATGTGGTGGAGGGTAGTGTGTGGTAGGAGGGTAGTGGAGGAGTATGTGTGGTGGAGGTAGTGGAGGGTATGTGTGGTGGAGGTGGAGGGTAGTTGTGTGTAGGAGGGAGTGGAGGAGTATGTGGTAGGAGGGTAGTGGAGGGCAGTATGTGTAGTAGGAGGGTAGTATATGTGGAGAGGGAGTGGAGGTAGTGTGCTTGGAGGGTAGTGGAGGGAAAAATGTATCTTTGAGGGAAGTGGAGAGAACACAGTTGATTTTGGTCAATTTAACGGTATTTTATTAATTATTTTACGTAATTTAAGTAAGGAAATAGCATAACTTTTTTGTTTTGTTTTTATATAAAGAAAGAAATTCAAAGAAACTGTTTATTAAATTGACCAATCATAAACCAGAAAAGTTTACAATGACCAATTAGAAACTAGGGTACCAATGACCAATCAGCGAAGGCGGTGTGGCGGCAGTTGGGTCTCGGTCATGAAAGTTTATAATCCACCTCAGTGCTCCTCGGATTAGGGAAGAAGGTAGACGTGTTTTTACTCTTGTGTGTTTTTAATCTGTAATTCTAAAAGACATTACTTATGAGTGAACATTTTAAAACATTATAGGCATAAATAACTGCAGTGTTTAATGATATATGAAAAACTGATGAATAAACAAGAGAAGCAATGATTTAAAAGGATTTAAATGACAGGAACGTAACTGTCAACTTCGGGGATTTAAACTGCACAGAATATGGGAACCACACCTGAGCCATGGCAGAGGTGAGTTATAAATTAACCTACCTTGAATAACCCAACCTAACCTAACCTAACCTAACCTAACCTAACCTAACCTAACCTAACCTAACCTAACCTAACCTAACCAACCTAATAAAATCCAACACGTGTCTAATAATCTACTTTTAGGAAAATTTAAATGAAAACCGTCTGTCTACTTTTCCAGTTTGAATTCCAGTATTTTTTGTGAAGTAGTCTTATAAAATATCTTGGTACAATATAGTTAAGGTATTAGTCTCGTATTACCCCTGTTACCATCATCCTCCAGGGATCTGTGACC